CTCGAAACCCCAATTTTCTTTGCAAATGTGTATTTGGTTGTAATAGCAAATGCAACTCTGCTTCATGGACAATGTGAAATGGCAAAGGGCTAGGCTTCTCTGAAAATGACTTGTGTCCCCTCGTGGCAGTGTAACTTAGTGGTCAACGTGTCTACGCTAACACAACCCGGATTCGAGTCCCGCTGCGGGTGCTGATGAGATGCAGTCCACTTCCGTCTGAACGAGAGTACCTTTTGAGAAGCGACGCGATGCGAAATGCATCGGAAACATGAGGCCTACTCGTCTTACTGTGGGATCATTCAGCTGCTAGTCCTGTATCACCAAAAGCAAAACAGGGTAAGCAGGTCTCATACAAAGTGAGAATGACTACGGCAGGATGCCACGTTGTTGGCTTGAAGTGTCAGAGCTTTTTACATAAACGCAGATGACTTCTTTGCAGAAGTCAACACTCTACTTTTCCTTCAAAATAGAAAGATGAACCACTTTAGCAGGACTGTTTGAGACCCACCTTTACTTTGGAAGTGAGTGATTGACTGATTGACTGATACATTTAGTTAGTCAATAAGTCACCGTATGGCCGACCTGGTCCCTTGCTGGGTAATTGAAATAGTGGTCAGTTGACTTATTGTTGTGGTGACCCTAATTAGGTATGAAAGTTTCAGAGTAAAAGATGCGTAGGTGGACTTTACCATAAGATGATGACGCCAGAGTCCCGTTGTTATGCAGCCACTTGTTGCCACTCCAACATCCCAGTTGACCCAATCCACGGGGCATCTGCCCTCAGTTTTGGTGAGCATCGTAACAAAATCAAACGACTGCGGAACAACCGGAATCGGCACCTTAACACAGAATGAAAGTCTCCACAATGATGGTATCGCAAGCGAGCTTAATCGAAACCCAGTTACCCATCGTATATATACGTTACTTATCAACGGGCTGAATGAAAAGTTGACTGAATGTCATTTTTGATGTGAGCTAGTCTCGAGACTAACAGTTAAACTTAAATAACAATTAATTATTGTTTTCGTGAATACCAGTAAATCAGTAACCCAATTTCTTTAAAGGTGAAATTCAATGGAAACGTCAGCTCAATTCATATCATCGTGCGAAAATTCTTCTTCTACCAGTCCTTCATCACCTTACACGAAATTGAGTCAACACATCTCATATTACTTAAATAAGAATTTATTCATTTTTACGTCGTATTAGGTGATTTAAGAGCTGAGAGTTGAGTTTTCCCACAATCAGATGAGCAGGCCTCATGATGCCATTCTATTTCACTTGGCCTTGCCTACCAAAATGAGTCTCCTTTCCAGGGTAGATTACAGTCTCAACTCGCCTAGGCTTTATCACCACCCCCAAGGG